TCTCCCAGAGAAAGATTTTTTTTATAAACAATGTAATTTTTCTTTTTGCTGTTTTATTTTTTATTTCCATAAAGTTCTTTTCGAGCATAACCAAAAATGTAAGGATATTATAACCTCTATTTCATCTCCTGGGCTGTATGGAAGCAAATGTTTGCTTGATTGAAGAAAAGATTCTGATGCATATCAATCTTCTAACAGGACAAAAGCTTTCAGATGGCAAAGGTATAAGTGGCAAGGGAAGACTGACAAGTACCAGAATTGATACCATGCAGAACTTTTATGGAATGGCGTTGAGAAAAAATAGGGGAATGCAAAGGAAATGGCCCAAGCTACAAGAGCTATCTTGAAACACTACTCCAGCACCCCAGTGAACCCCCAACATGAGGACTGTCCTACCGGTAAAAAGTTCCTGGTGTAGCCTCAAGAAAGACATTGCTTGTAACACCAACACACATCAGCCCATCAAAGATCCAATTCCACCTGCAGCAGTTGAAGTGATCCAGCCCGTGTTCGACAAACTCAGCGGTGAGTCATTTTTGGCTGCTTGTGAACGATGGTTAAGTCAAAATAGAAATGAGTCGCTTCACCATGTGACATGGTCACTGGCACCCAAGGAACAGTATTTCTCACCACAGGAGACATACTTACCACTATGCCTAAGTGTTTTACTTTTCAATGCTGGAGCACATTCCACATACTCAAGATTATGTCCAGCCATAGGGATTACTGTTACACCAAATATGACTATGGGATGGAAGCAAATTGACCAAGACCGCATGTGGGGAAGTGATTACAAGGAACGCCAAGCGGTGAAGGATCAAAGAAAAAAAAGGAAAAGGCAAAAGGTGAAAAAGCAGGATGCATTTGTCCACCAAGAGGGAACCATGTACTGTTCCCAGGCCTTCCACAACACATAAACCCTAGGCATCACTCAACTGAAGGGAATCTCACTAAAACAACTCCACAGTGCAGCATTGTGTGAATTTTAACATGCAGCACTAATGATCTTGTGCCGTAGCAAATCAGCTGTAGTAATGGAACTGTGACTATGTGTCTATGGGTATAACTGCCTAGCCATGACGTTAAGAATATATATGTTAACCCTCGTTTGCCAAATAGAAGTAATTTACTTGTAAAGGGAACGTCATAAAACATCATTCAAGGTTCTTTAGAAACAGCTGTACATCTCTCTTTGCTGTACAGAGTATTAACCAATGTGCCACTTCAGGCATTGCCTATCACATGTGAGTGTTTGTATAAATTATAATATTATTATTGTTTGATATTTCCACAATGGCCCTTGTAAGAGGAGGGAAAATTGTTAGCTATTTTGCTTCTAAATAAGTATCAAAAGGGACAAGGAGAATCTGCTATGAGAAAACATTCCAGTTAATAACGACACATAAATGTCACCTTTTTGTTATTAAATCTATTTATTTCTTTGACTGATTATTAGAAAAGGTTCTCAATCAGTATATCCAGTATTTGTATGTGTGGTCATATTCTAGACATTCANTGTTATTAAATCTATTTATTTCTTTGACTGATTATTAGAAAAGGTTCTCAATCAGTATATCCAGTATTTGTATGTGTGGTCATATTCTAGACATTCATGGTCAAGAAAGGAAGGTTCCTTTATTTTAAATTCCATATAACTGTAAAATGAGTAACACAAGCTCACAAATTTAAAAAGGTCTCTAAATAAAGAATTGTCTCCTTTGGACATGATAAAATTTTACTTTAATTATTGGACATGTTCTATCAGGCATTTAGTTCCCTCATTTCCATGATCCTGCAGAGGTCTTGTAGGTTTACTTGGAAGGCAGCCTGAAGAGACAGAAAGATATGTGCTATCATATAATGTAATGAATTCAAAGAATCAAGTTAGAGGGGTGCCCAAACATCCCAAAATTTGTAAGTTAGATCAAATTACTTTTGACCGTCGTGTGCCTGCACAAACGAATGAAAAAAAGGAAAGCATCCAGCAACATCTGCAATGTGTACTCAGCGTTCAGTATGAATGGACAAATTTAATTTACAAACAACAACAAAACAAATGCACTAAATAACTGACTCATCTCGCGAATCTCGCCCTTTATGTTGCCTGGTACCAGATGTCTCATAAAATTGAGCACCAGCTCTGGAAAGGCATACTCGGCATTCACAGGTCCAATTTCGTTGCGCTGAAAATTGAGGATAATTGAAATCACAAATTAAATCATAAAAAATTGTGGGCAGTCCAAGACAGGATTATTTCAGTCTACGTGCCTCCACGTAAAATTCTGATTACTTACCATTAGCGCGTGCGCCCAAGAACAGTAATGATAATACCTGCTGTTTCTGGCTGGCTTGCCTCTTTTCATCCGATCCGAAGTGCTTTTCTCCAACATATCAGCGAAAAAGTTTCCGTCGAATCTGTCAAAAATAAACGAAACAGTTCTTGCCATTTCGCATGAACGAATGATTCGATTGCTGGATGTTTGTTCATCCTACAAATACGGCAGTAATATTAGACTTGAAAGGCTTTCTTATCAATCAAAATTATTTCTATCAACAGCAGAATATTAATATTATCATCATAAAAGGGAGAAAGTGAAACATACCCGATTTCTGCCATCGCCATAATCATTTTCTCTCTAAAGGGTTTATCGGTTCAGTTAAAGCTGCCGCGTTTTCCTTTTCTTGTTTTTTTCCACCCACCCGCTTTAGCTTGCTTTCTAGCGGTCGTTCCCTTTCTTGTCTTTCCCACTTTGCTACATTAGCTTGAAGAAAAAAAGAGGAGCAGCAAAAGAAATCTCTCCGGTTTGGGCGCAATGCGAAACAGCAGGGTTGTCCGAAAATTGCGCGCGTAGATTTCACCAGGAGGCGAACGGAAGTAAACTTTCCAAGCACTGATTGGCTCAATTATGTAAGAACCCAGTTGAATGTGTTTGTGGACGGAGTTTGTTTGCGAAGCAAGAAAATTTTTTCAGCGCTGTTTTCTCGAAACAATTTTTTTCTTAGAAGGAGACACTTTAAAGAGCTACAAGTCAGAGAGAATTTGTTCAATTGCCCTCAAATTTGGACCTTAGCTAGTTTAACATATAAACTACAAAAATGTGTCTGCGAATTGTTAATTTCGAAATACTTTTTTTTGAGAGCGATTTTTCGACGATCACTCCATATTTTTTAAATCCTATTTCAAAAAAGTTCTGTAACTTTTTACTGCAATTGAATATGGCAAAACGCAGACACTCTTTTTTTTTTAGAGCTTTGGGCCCTGAAACCGAGGAAAAAATTAAATTGGCGAAAAACAAAATTCGCTTTGACTTGCAGCTTTCGAAAGGTGATTCGGGCGCTCGCATTTAGTGGTCGTGAAAAATTAGACAATTCATTTTATTTCAAAATTCTTGGTATAGTTTGATAGCCAGCTCTATAAGCTTTAATTTGATATAGCGGTTTAGGTATCTCCAGTATAAACCGGACGCGCTACATCGCTTGCACGCGAGACACCCCTGAAGGTATACGGTAACCTTAATACAGTTGTGAATAAAGAGGACAAAAGAAAAGCGCTTCACTGATCGTTTTACGCAACCTGATCACCTCCATTGGCTTTGCTACACTGGATCAAGAGGATACCATTTATCATCTTTGGGTTTAGCTACAGTAAATCCAGGAGTACTGACAGGCGTTAAAATATGTTCAGGTTTTCGTTAACATCAAATGACCTGCAGGGTTGAATTAGAACAAGGAAGTTGGACGTTCAAACTCTGTCTCTCTATACAGGTATGCAAAAAAGGGAAGCTCATGCTG